AGACGTATGGGAGAAAGCATTTTGAAATCCTTGAATGACATGTTCAAAAGCACTCTTCTCTTCATTGCTTAAATGTGTATCCTTCAAATAACTACGATGTTAGGCTCTGGGAAGACACAGAGACTGAAGGCCTACTGGTTCGTTTAACTTACATCACTGGAGTACATGCTGTAAGCACTTTGCCTTTCCTGATGTTTTTCGCCTTATTACTTACGTTGGCAACTGTCACCGGTTTTCGATAGTCGGATGAGTCCTCGATAGTCGGATGAAGCTACTAGTACTCCTTTTGGGCTGTTACAATTCCTAGGATATTTCATTATACCTTACCGGAAATTTCCATTTTCAATTATGGATCCATAAAGTAAAAATTCTGCTTTTGCTGGTAATGTGATATCGTCTTGAGCTATGATATGATCGACGGATTTAACTCCTTCCTCTTTTATTTCAAATAGGGTTGTGTCCTCAGCGGCAGAACGGAGTTCGTTATTTTCAAAGTACAAACAAAAAATTGCATTTCCTCAGAAAGACTAATTCGAGTATGCAAGAGTCTTTAATATTTACGTCATATGCCGTGTGTTGGTATGTGGTACTTCCAACGTCATCATTGTTTTCGATGTTAACGTTTAACTTTTCATTGATGTCGATTTTATCACCGGATACAATCTGGAGAGTAATGCAGAACGGCGTCCAGGTGAGTTTATCTTCCGACTGTTGATTCGGACCTCTTCGGATGATGGCTATTGAATTCTGCATCGATGTTCATATTGCACGTAACTCCATTTATATGTCCAGTGATGAATAGTCTATTAGTGTGGGCACACATTACAGAAATCTGAAACTCTTTAAAATGGAGCTTCTCAATATCTGGTGACCACCGCCCCGTGAGATGGCTACTAATTATTTTCTGTCTTCTTTGTTGGCAGGAATCACAGCTCCCGTGCCTTGGGATGTTCTGCGGTTCTTTTTTACAGAGCCTTCACCACCGCAGTTCTAGAGCATTAGGATCATTTTCATTTTGCCCCTATTCCGCCTCAAGAAATTGACTTGCCCGGTTAATTACCTCGATGAACAATCGCTTGATCCATTGGCTTTTGGAACTGAGCAGCTCTGACTGGATGACGGTCTCTACGAGTTGCTTGCTATGTTACCGCGAATTTCATGTCGTATTCTTAAGTGCTTTTTAAATACTTGACATCCGCCATCCGGAGGGCTTTCTGTGTCTCAGGATTACTGATGCCATCGAGGAAGTACTGCAGGGACAGGATTTCTCTTGCTTCTGAAGGGTAGCCCAAAAAACGTGGGATCAGACAGCCTTTAAGCATCTGTGGCGAGATCCTGGAGTGCTTCCGTGGGATTCTATTGGTAAGATTTTAACTGAAGCCTGGGAAAGTCTTTTAAACACTTCTCGCAAAAGTGCTGCTTCACAGCTCCGGATAGGGCTTCAAAGTCTGGCCTCTGGGTTTTGGCCAGAGTTTAGAGGATATCCTCTGCGTTCGCTATCAGAGAAGCTACAAGGTGGTAGGCTTTAGCTTGGAAATACCATCCATTTACGTCCACCATTATAGAAAACTGAGTCTTGTACACCTGCCAGGAGGCCTTTCCATCATATGTGGATTAAGGGATAAGAAGACATATCTAATATTTCAAAAACGTCAGTTTTGTTTTCTGCTGTAATTATGGATTTCTTTAAGTTCTCAACTTCCTTGGCGATTGCGGCAGAAACTCTCTAATTGATTTGTTGTTCGACAGCAGAAACTCTTTCCCGATTTGTTTTTCAACAGCAGAAACTTTCTCCGATTTGTTGTTCGGCGGATACTTTTACTCCAGTTTTCCCAACTTTGTTTTCACCGGTGTCTATTCTGCCTTCCATAGCATCGAACTTTTCTTCTATTATTGCAGTAATTTCTCTTTTCATTTTCTCTTTACCTGCTCCAATCTTTTCTTGAACACATGTCTTTTTTAACGGATTCTTGGACGGATTACATCTTTTCTTAAACAGCTTTTATTTTATTATTAACAGATTCTTGGTTCGCTTCCATCTCTCCTTTAAAAGGTTCAACATTTATCTTAATTGGTCCTCCATCGCTCTTGTCACCGCTCAATCCCATATCTTGCACCCAAAATTGTTGCGTGCGTACGGGTTCGAAATGGTTTGAATGCGCACAGGATCGATGTTATAGTTTGATAAAATTTATTTTCCTAAAAGAAACACTTAACAGTTCTGAAACTTTTCATAAAAGTACTCGTGCAGCTTTTCTCCGTATAACAGAGCATAATCAGTAGTCACCACTTTAAACTACTAAGAACGTTAAACACAGTCCAAAGCAAAGCACACCTAAAGAGAGAGGCTCGCAATGCTCTTAATACGCCGAAATCAACGGTGAACTAAATACTGGAAACTGATGCTCTCTCCGGTCTTATATGATTTTCCACCGAACGCCAAGAAATCTCTACTGCCTTCTCTTTCTCAAATTTACTGGAAAACGAGTTGGATACACTTCTTGACATTTATACGGTTAAAGTTACATATAAGGGCCGGATACGTCGACAGTTACATATAAGAACAATTACAGGTATTCAGTTAGAGTACCAGTTACAACTCAGATCGAAAAAAATATCGCCAAATGGTCCTTAAAGTTGACGACTTTTGGCTATTTCTTCCCAAATTCGGCGACAAAATTTTGTCGCAAAAACCATCGCCAACTTGGAGAGATCTCGCGAATTTAGCGAGATAGCCATTAATGACAATTTGCATACTGATCTATCACTTCGAACTTAGTCACGATCTCGTTCGTTCCAGAGGGTTATGCAGATTTTGAGAAGAGCTAACTTTGGTCGGTAGCCTGTAGTTGTTTTATGTCGGATGTCTTTCTTATCTCGCCTGAGTTGGAATCTGGTTAAAAACATGGCAGTGAAAATATGTGCAGCAGAAATTTAACTTTCGGGTTGTTTACTCTCCCATCAATAAAATTCCAACTTCTATACTCAAGGACCCCATTCCGGATATGAATTCCTGGGGTATTTATAGGATTCCTTGCCAGTACGGTTTAATTTACATTGGCCAAACTAAGAGAGCCTTAAAATTTCGCGTCAAAGAACATGAGGCATATGTTAGAAAAAAAGAAACACAGAAGTCTTCTGTTGCTCAACATTGTTGGTCCGAAAATCACACTTTCAATTTTTCTGCTGCCAAAATTATTCAAAAAACATCTTCCATTGGAGAACTGGATTTCTAGAGGGCATTTCACATTCATAAAAATCTTTCTGTTCTAGTTAACGATCCTAATTCCAATCCAAATTTGCCTTCGGCTTTTAGAGAAATTATGTTTTAGTTCTGGTTTCGCCAACAGATGGCGCCACTTGCTTATTCTTGTCCAGGCTTTCTTATCTTATCTAAACATTATTTCCTATCTTGTTCATTTGCGGTTTTGCAGCTGAAGATGATGGTTCGGTAAAACCATCGAAACTAGTCCTGTGAAAAAATTTTGTGAATTAACGCTGATTTTTGTTGTTTGACTTCTGAATCGGTATTTATTCGGCGTGTTATTGTGTCTTAATTATTTACCTCAGTGTTAAATAGACTTGCTCCTGTAATCTTTTTTTTTTTTTTTTTTTTTTCCGGTAGAGCATCGCTCTTTTCAGCGTTTTCATGTTACATTATGCAAAAGATACTAATCTTTCACCTATAATTTCATTAAAACTATTTACATATATACAACATTCATAACAATATAACATGTAGGGTTTTGGCTGATAGGTAATTGAAGCAACGCACAACTTACGCACCCATTACGGTGCTGGTGAGAAAATTATGCTTAAAGAAAAATGTGCATGATTAAACGTTATGTCAGATCGGAAAAGGCAGTGTGAAAAAGTATTTCTATGGCTAAACGATTTTTAAGGAGATGTAATGCGAATGATGACATGAATTCGTCCTTAAAAAAATCCCGACTTCGTAACAGCACAAAGTTAAAGGTATAATTAGGCGTAAGGCTGGTTCTAAAGGTTGGCTCATGTGGTTAGATTTTTTCACTTCAAAATTTTAGCCAATGTTGTTAAAGACCTTAGTTTACGAACTTCTAATGAAGAAAATGTAACGTACTTTTATGTTACATTAGATAGTTTATAAGGTATTTCTCCCACTTTCCTAGCGTCCTTCCTGGTGTAGTGGTTCTGCACACTGAGCCGGTATTTCAGAGGTCCGTGGTTCGATTCCCGGCGAAGGCGTTTGCTAATTTTTCATCTTGCTGGCCTCTAAAAAAAATCCTAATGACTCTACAAGTTATTAAGATTTTAATCTTTGTTGTGACTTCTTCCTTCCGTATTCCTTCCTCACTAGGATGCAAATTAGTTTTACTGAGGGTTTTTGAATCTTAGTCATAGAATTTCTGTCACTCGCGTAGCGCTGTTAGAATTTTGTCAACTCTGTTTAAAAAATAATTATCTTGGCTTTGCATTCACTTGCAGCAGTCGCTGAACACTGGTAGTTCGGTCCGAATCCCGCGAACGGGCTGGCTGCATGGGCGTTTTCGTGGTTTTCCCCGTGTGTAACGTGTATACGAGCCAGTTTCCCTTAGAAAGTCCTCCACGAAGGCATCCCTTCCCCTTAGGCAGAAAGCCCTAGTGTGCTTTGCCATAATTAAATACACCACCACTAAAATTCACTTGCAGCTGATTAACTGATGCGCCAGTAAAACACTGATAAAATATGAATTAGCGTCAATTTAAAATTCTTTCGTGCCATCATTACACAAAATATATAGCTCTTCAATCCAATGATATAATAAGTTACGTAATTACCTGGTATATTTTATAGTCTGCAAATGCGTAATTCAATTCCTAATTATTTATTCTATTAAAATTCACAATAATGCAAAGCTTGTTTTAAATCTAAGCTCTATTAATTATTTTTGAATGAAGAGTGTTTTTGAAATTATTCACCTCTTGTTGACAAAAACACCTGTCTTACACATGAAAAACAAAGCATTCTATAAGCATAAAAACATAGTATTTTGGTTTTATTTTTTACATAATATTCTATAATTCTTGCTTCTGCAAAATACAAACTTGAACAATGAGATCAAAATTAAATAAATTTTGATGGGTTTAGCGAAGCAAAGTTTTTTTTACATTTGTTAATTCGTTACATAATAGTAACAATACAATGGAAAAATTTTTATTACTTAAAAGAAAATATTTTTATTTTTAAAAGAAAAGAGTAAAGAAAAGAAATTGTAGATGTCTATAAAAATAATTAAAAAATTCCCATCACTTGATGGCCAATCTTAATGTACACAATCTTGATTTTCTATCAGTTTTCTTGCACTGAACTGATACAAAAATCAGAATAATAAATAAGTAAATACTTTGCAAATTTATCACTACTTTCACTTTCAGAGCATTCCTATTCAATTGTTGCTTTATAAAGTCAGAATTAGTCTCGTCCTATAAAAAAGAAACGTCACGGCGAAGGACATAAAGAGGAACGAATTTGAAAGCACACACACAACATTAGACTTGCTTGTTAAATCCACGTCTAGTTCTTCTTCGTCATCATCTTCGTCTGGTGCTTGCTCATTACGACTTGGACATCCAAACCAATATTGATTTATATTGCTTAATTTAATCTTCTTTACAGACATCAAATTATCGTTGAATTGCCAAAACTTTCTTCCTTTGAAAAAATAAGTGTGGCCTATTAAAAAAAAAAAAAAAAAAAAAAAAAAGATATATTAAAAATCTTAGAAGAGTGTTAAGTTCTAAAGCACATTTATCAAATTTAAAATTACTTATACTTCCATGTAATCAAATTCTAAAAATTCATACACGCTTGGAAATGTTGGTTCCCTAAACAATATTAAGACAAGCTGTAACACTTTTCTGGGCTTAAACTAATCTTAACTAGCTCAAATTCAGTTAACTTGGATGTTACGGGAATGCAGTTGCATGAGTTTTCACCTTAATGGTAACTAAGCTCTAAAAGCAAACAAACATAAAATATTACTTTGAATTTAAACTTATTTTATCTCTCTCACCCTTTGTGAGGAATGAAGTAAAAAAGTAAAAAACAAAAGTAATAATCACTTTGACTCGGCAGCAAATTAAACAATCCCTTAACTATTTTTGGAAAGTTACAAATCTAAGCATTTCTAAAACCGGCTAGAAATTCGGACCGAGGACTAACAATAACTCAAAATGTTAATTTACGAATCAAGTATACATTAGGCTTCTATTCTTACGAGAGGCAGTGGCTATGGCAAGGCAGTTAACGTTAATCTCATGCGGTTACGAGCTATTTTTCTAGCTTTATACTAAAGTGCTTTCCATTCAAATTCGCATAATGTCTGGAACGAACGAGCCCAAGAAGAATTGAGGCAATAAGAAAGATGTAAATCAAAGTGAACTTGGTTAGTGAAACTCAAATATAATACCATAAAGCGTTTAAGTACTCTCTTGATTCTACGAACGATTCATGCATCTTTTCAAGAATCCTATAGCATTATATCAGTCGATCGTTTATACTTACCGGTCTTTTTTGTAAGCAGGTTCGCCATTCAATTCCATGGGAACAAACAAAATATAAGTTAAAAATTAGTAGTCTGAAATTTTAAGAACATGACTAGAAGTTCGAACTTGTTACGGTACATGGACAACGTGATCAAAATGTATGTTGTTGGACAGGGCAAGAATCTGTGAATTTTCTTCTCTTTTTTGGGTAGGGAAAGTTCATTATTACAAATGTTTTGAGAAGTCTTCATTATCTACCATCATGCCTTCATGCTGCAGGACGAAAATTAAAGCTTTAATAAATAAGTCAGAGTCATGCTAGTATTATAAATAACTTAAATTTCAAAGATACTCTGTGAATGATCCCAGATTAAATTTCAACTGCATCTAATATATCATTGCTGTAAGCGTTGGGGGGGGGGTAAACAAAAATTTCTCTAAATGGGGAAAGTAAGCGATGATTCATGAAATGTGGCCTTTACAAAATTATGGTTGACTCTAAAAAAGAAAACATACACAGAAAATTTAGAATCTAATAGATAGAGAATATAAGGTTCTTCAGAGCGGAATCAACTGCTTCGAAATCGAACTGCGATTCTTCTAATTGACAATTGGATACCTTAAACAGTACACCAAAAGACTCCGCACGAGAGGAATGTTATAACGCCTTTAAAATGTACTAAACCGCATTTATTATACTAAAAATTGCGTATGATATTATAAACAGTAATTAATAAAACAAATGTTCACAATGGTGTAGCTAGAAGGGCCTCCCTGTACGGCACATTTTTGGAGGCGGCGTTTCTAGCGTGAAATGTTAGGGGGTTGGTCATGTGGAACGTCGAAGCACATAAATTTAGTAAGATTCTGAGATTCATACCGAATTAAATTGAAGGGAAATACTCGAATTAAAGTATTCAAAGAAATCACCGCGATATTTCAACAGCAACATACCTTTGTTATACTTTTTTTTATCCCGAATTGTGCATATCAACAAAATTATAATCACGGTGACGTTTATAAGGAAGAATTCCTCGTTAAGCAGGTGGTGTGGTGTATTTAATTATGGCAAAGCACACGAGGGCTATCTGCCTAAAGGGAGGGATGCCTTTCGTGGAGGACTTTCTAAGGGAAACTGGCTCGTATACACGTTACACATGGGGAAAACCACGAAAACGCCCCATGCAGCCAGCCCGTTCGCGGGATTCGAACCTCAGACCGAACTACCAGTGTTCAGCGTCTTTACCGCTCGGCCGCTGGTGCGCTCCTCGTTAAGAAAGAAGTATTTCAAAAATTTTGCTTCCCGTTATTTCTAGAGAAAACGAAACAGGAACGTGGGAAGGCGTTCCTTTTGAATTTTCGCAGATTATTCTAAAATACAATATCCAGAACGAAGTTCCAGATATTGTAATACCAGTGCAAACTTACCTCACATTAGATATAAACACTGATGGTTTCTCACATTAGCTGGTTTAAATTGCATTTAAGAAATGCTTAAAAACTATAGATTTTATTTTGCATTTAAGAAATGTTTAAGAACTAGAGATTTTATTTTGCATTTAAGAAATATTTAATAACTAGAGATTTTATTCTGCATTTAAGAAATATTTCTATACTGTCTATATTACAGCAACTGGAACAATCAAGTCGACTTCTAAGATGTCATCGATTGTTTTGAAAACAAATAAATAATATAGCTTTAAAATGTTGGAACTAAAATGTTTCTTCAAAAAATGAGTTTGAATTTATTGCCCTATATATATATGTCTGTGTGTGTGCTATTTTGACATTTTTCAGTTATTTTTTTATATATCAATAAGAGCAGCAGAATCAGAGTCTACTCCGAGCGGCAAAGGCACTAGCTACATCATTGCGTAATGGAAATAATTTTTCTCAAACATTCCAAAATATTTAATATGGCAGCTATGCAAAGTAAATCCTTATTCAAATCTGTACGAAATAATATTTCCTATTTTTTAAGTTAATTTCATAATTGATTAGTAAAGACATAGCAAGCAAGCATATTTGCCGGTGATTGGCTTATATAGCGGCAAAGGGGCCTGTCTTGGCTTGGAAAAAAGTACTTTAGCAGAAAACCAAGTGAATGTATATGACCGAAATTGAATCTAACTATTTTTATATATAACTGATAAAAATAACTGAATAAGAATGGCAACTAAGGTAGCAGTTTAGTCGGAGACAGGAAAGTTGAGAAACAACTTTACGCTCGGCTAGATTCAAACTAAGGATCTTCTGATTGCTAGCTGGACATGCAAACAATAGAAACTTGCGAGCTAATGGGATACTTACTTAGAAAGTTAAACGAAACAAACACACAGCTGAGCAGTAAGTACACAGAAACTATTTTGAACATATAATTCTAAGAACTCCTTTTCAGGGAATGCCATAGTGCTTTAGGAAACAATTTCTCTCTGGTTAGAACTAAGGGATACTCGAACGACATACTTAAAAGCACGTTTTTTCGCATTCCTTAGGGTAACTATTCTAAGATAACAAGTGAAATGCATATCCAAGGAGTTTGTGTTAGCATATTTAACTTTTCAGTGGCTATCTGTCATTCAAAGGACACTGATTACCATGTCAGAGGATATATTTGCGTCAGACTTCAGTTATTCGCCCAGCTTTTTAAGTTAAGTTTTTTGCAAACTTCATCTTAAGTCTGCAGTAACGTAAAACAAATTATGATGAATTCTACCGAGAAGCGAAGTTTCAATGATACGAAGAAATAAGAAAAAATCATGTCTTCGCATTAAAAACAGACACCTGATCTAAAATAAAGAAATTTATTTATATTCGTCCGCAGAGGAAAGCCTGATTTAGTTGTCACTAGGAACAACACTAGGAACATTAGAAATTTGAAAATTAAATGAATGGCTATGCTACCGGGACAATTTTGATTCAAAACTTATGCATCATCATTAAGTTACAGATGGCCCAATATTTTATATAGTTTTGACTTTTTTATCAATATAAGCACCTTAAACACAAAAGCTGGAAATCATTAATACAAATATTAGACTAAATTACATTTTATCTTGAATGCCCCGAGAAAAATTAATTTTGATTTATAATAACGTGTAAATGTGATAATTATTTTTCTTAAACACATGAAATGTTTCTAAGAAGCCTCTTTAAAATAATTGTGGCGCATTTTACCATTCGCAATTTATATATTTAAATACGGTTAACTAATTTATAAAGCAGCCAGCATTCTTCTGTTACCTGACTGACAAGAGGAAGGCCTTCTCGGAGGACGTTTTCAGGATGTTTTTCTTACAGTCGAAGCAAGGAGTGTTGAATTTTGAATTCTCTTTATAATTTCGAATTTTTTTAATAATTTAATTTTGCTGTTTCCTGTTTGTTAAAAACTTTCAGATTTCTTATAGAAATTTCGACACAATGCAATAATTCTGAAAGTCCTAGGACATTTTCATTTCACTTCATTTGAAATGTAATATTGTAGGAAACGATTCAATAATTTTCTTTACAAATAATTTATAATGAGGATATTTTAGAAAAAAAATATCAATGGCTCAATTATTTGACTGATTACGAACATATTGTAGTAATATAAATACGTGACCTCAAATTAAACATTTAACACATGGTTACATGCAGAAATCAGCAGTTCTATCTTTAACCCCCCCCCTCCCCAAAAAAACTAATCAATGAAAAAAAAAGTTAAGTGGATAACATTTTAAGCTCTTCGTTATCTATAGAAACGTAATTCTATCATCGGTGAACAATGAATTTCATTTTAAAGCTCAAATTAGAAAAAATATTCGTGCATCATTAGCTATGATTTATGTGATCCTGTTAGGAATTATTTGTTTACTATAAATAAAAACTATCTGAATGTACAGAAAAAAATCAAACAAAAATTCCAGAGGTTCCAAAAAGGTAAAACAAAAGAAAATTTCCGTGAAAATGGCTTAAAATGGTCGTGTTTATATACTTCAGAGAATTATTTACCATCGGTGTGTTGAAAGGCAGCATCTATGTGATAAGGCACCCCTCTCCACATGCTCATGTCCCGAGGGTAATCAAGCTCCACTCGACCTTCCGCCTCATCGTATCTCCAATATTCAGTTCCAGCAAAGAGATACGTCTTGCCATTGTATCCCCATACCATGGCTGCATCGATCCGCTTCAAGTCCGGTGGGAGGCCGAGATCTGTAAGTGGACGAGGATAACCTGGCGCTTTGCTGTTCCCATTGAAAAGCCAGTATTGTTGTCCTATAGTTGAAATTAAAGTTTTAGTAACTTAATATAGTTATTTTTCACAATTAACCTTTCATTATAAGAAAAAATTAACTTTTTCAAGATAGATCATTTACTGCCTTAATTAGATTTTAGGCATTGGATTTACTTCCAATTCAGCCCGTTTTCAACTTAACCTTGAGAGTTTTATTCCTAATTCAGCCTCAAGAGGGATAAATCCCATAATTTTATTCCAGCCTGAGCCGATCTAGAATCATCTTATTATCTCACTTGTTACAAAATGTTTTTTACACCTTTTGTAAATATAAAAAAGGTAGAATAAGCAGTGGCGTAGCTGTGGGTGGATAGGGACATCTGTTTCCGGGCGTAGCATCAAGGGAGGGGGGCAAACTGATGCTACGAAATTTTAGAATGAAACGTTTTCCATTCATGGCAAATAGGAGAGGGCGCAAAATCTCAGTTGTCCCCTGGTGCACTACGCCTCTGAGAATCAATACTCTTTCAATGTTGTATGCAGGATATTTTAAGTCATGCAGTCGGACATAGACTTTTAGATCAATCATTTCACCTCTGAACTCATGCGAATACTTCAATTGATAGATCGGCAAATCCATTGCTAATTACCAGTTTTATAGATACGTTTTAATTTAAAACACCTACTCTCATAAATTAGGATACTTTGCCCCCTCAGCGAGTTTCAGAATACTTTATCGTTTTTTCTAAGAACATATACAGAAAATAAACAGTTGCAATTATTAGCAATGATAAGCAAGAATGTAGGGAAACGGCAACTATTTCTGAAATTTGGCCTTAGAAAAGGTTGCGAAGAGAGACTAATATAAATCATTTAATTATTTTAGTAAAAAAACGGAGGGTAGAGTTGGTGTGAAGTTTGCTGTGAGTTGGGAATCATCCAGCTACCAATGAAAATGATGCATTATTCCTAACATAATATGATGCCTTTTCTTGGATATTTCACAGACGTTTTTGCGAAGCAGAAATCTTCGGCTGAAATTAAATTATACAAAAAAAAAAAAAAAAAAAAAAAAATGCTGCAATTAGTATTAGTGATGAAAACAAAAGTATTTTCGTCTTTATCAATTTTTCGTCAAGTCATTTTCTAATTTAGGCTTTTTTTTTGGGGGGGGGGTAACTTTTGGGCAAAATCACAATTTCAAAAATTTAAGGCTGAATTTATATATCTGATAACTGTAATAATTCAAATTAAAAATTTAGTTAATTTATAAACAAATTAAATGATAACCATTATAGAAGAAAAGCCTTTTATTTGTATTATTCGTCTAAAAATCTTTCGAGAAATTGTCCTTCCAGTCCTGGATGTTTCGTATTCAACTCCAATGCTACGTTTCGCACACGCATATTAATACCGAGTTTGCGTCAGCGGTACTAATATATATCGAATTTTCCTATTACTTAGAACTACGTGTATTTCTATCTTCATGGCTTTATTTTGAAGAAATAAGAAATTTAAGGGATGTTGGAAACCAAAATACCTTCAAAAAATGGTCATTTTGGATTTTTGCATTTTCAAATCTTTTAGCTTTCTAAAAATACCATTCTCTAACCTCTATGAAAATTAGAACTGTAAAAAATCTAGTTTTAATTTGTCATCGAATGCTTTAATAAATGAGATTTTTACATAAAAACGCGTTTTTCTCCAAACGTGATTTGTTGGTACTCGATGTACGTTTTCTCAGGAACTACTGCTCTCAGTTATCTAAAATTTTTATGGCTTATTTATTATGTTTCCTAATATTTACTGAAATGAGCTCTTTGTGTTAAACTCAGAAAACAATTTAAAAAAAAATTTGTGTGAGCTTCGGGGTGCTAAATTTTACTATGCCCACAAAATATTCTGTAAATTACTCTGAAATTCAAAATATTTCAGAAGCTTATTTCAATATAATCAAATAGGTATACTTTAATCACACAAAAAATTTCAAGCGTGTATCTACAGTAGATTTTGAGAAAAGGTACATCGAAAATGGCCAATTTAACATTGTCGATAGCCGCCCAGTCGGTATGGTGGCCAGGGAAGCTGACTGCGATGCCGAAGGACCTGGGTTCGAATCACGGAGAAGGCATGGTTGTAACTGTCCGTCCCTTCATAGGAAAGGCGATGGTGGCCCACCTATTTAGGTGCCTCCATAATAAAGAGACCACCACATCCAGCCTTGTATAGATTATTGGACTGGGTTACATTTGTAATTGTTCACAATCTGCCATTGGACAACAACAACAACAACAACAAAAAGTCGGTATAGGGGTTTCCAATACTCCTTAAGTTCTTGCAGCCGCCCAACTGGAATAATGGTTATCGACGCTCTACCAAAAGACCTTTGTTTGGATCCGGGAAAAGGCATGGAATGTTTTTAATAATTCAGATAGTGCCTGTGCGGCATGGGAGCACTATAAATATGCGGCGAGCCGAAAGTCCTCTTGAGTAGTTGATGGTAGGGGAAGAGGGGTGGGAGACCTTCGGATCCATTCTTCGAGGTGCTCTCTATCAAAATTGAGGGGGGGGGACTGAGCAAAGTTGTACTGTCAGCTTGGCCTTAATCTTGTACTCCTTGCCACGATATATTTCGTGGGCTTGTTTTGATGTTACAGTCAGACAAGTGAGATAAGTCACAGTAACAATAACAACAAATTCAAGCGGAATTTTTTTAATTTCTTAATTATGCAATGAGCTGAATACAAGCACATGTTTCGAAATACAGAAAGAATGAAGTAAATTTCCTAAAAATAATACAACTAATGCACAGAAATGAAGAAAATAATAGGAAGTTACTTGATTTTGTATTTTAATGAGCCTTTCTTACTTCGAATGTAAAATAAAATTCTTAATCGGAAAATAAGATGAAGAAATCCCTTTAATAAGTTTTCATATACGGAGGGCATGCAGAAATGGTAATATTTCATATACGGAAAATTTCATATACGGAAAAAGATATCCGTTATGGGATGCAGAAATGGAACCATACGATACAGAATCCGTGCGTGAATGGAATGAAAGTTTTTTTTATGTTTGTCACCATGAAAGTTTTTTTATGTTGATATGTTACAGGTTATTTGTGTGCGAAAAATAAAAATACGTGCGTTGCTGTAGTAAAACCAGTACGTAGCTCCAAACGTTCAGAGCCGGGAGTTGCCTATTATAGGGTTCAGCTGTGTCAATCCGTATTGAGGCAGAGTAACCTGCTTTAGCATCAAAGTCAATAGTGTATTATTATTAAAGTCAATAGTGTATTATTTTAAGCTAAAATTAAATATTTAAAAAATCTTTTACCTACAATAACTGAAGTAAAAGAGTTAAGAAAAAACGTTAATTAATTATTTTAAAAATCATTTCCAGACAATAACTGAAATAAGAGTTGTTAAGAAAAAACTTAAAATTTGCAAAATTATTAATTTAAATAATTTTTTAAAATTCTCTCCGCCTATAAACGTTGGCAGTAAAGCAGTTAAAAAGAAGAAATGATAAAATGTTTAATCCATCAGTTTCAAGTAGCTAACATGTTACTGTTCTGCTTGTTTCGGACTTTTTTAATGTACTTTGCTGAATATTTTTTCTTTGACATTTAGGTGACAGCATTTTGTTAATTTACTTCATGTTTTCAGCCATAAGCAGAATATTCAGCTCATTAATATTGCAGCAGAAACGCGCAGCATGTGTCCTATTTTTCACTTCGTAACGTCAACCTTCTCATATGCTGTCTTACTGCTTTCATACAAGGAACAGGTGAACATGATAGTTTAATGAGTAGGAAGGATGTGACAGAGATATAGAAACATACAAATAATAAATAAGCTCTCTTTCCTTTATGCTACGAAAATATGTTTTGCAATGAACCAAAACTATTCTTTATTTCTTGACATTCTACGCAATTAAATCTTTGAGTGACCAACCTATGAAATCCTCCTCCAAATATCAAAGTGTTTTTCCTCTTCCCCAGAAATGTGTTGAGCTATGTTATCACCATGCATTACTTTTAAAGAAATATTTATCAAATTATACTGAATGGTGGGCTTCATAAGCTGCGTTTTGTAGGATTCCAATATAAAAGAGAAAACCAGAGAGAGGCAGGAAAGAGCGTTGAAGACATAGTACATAATAGTAGCAAAAAGAGGGGTATTGTTTATAAAATATGTTTTCGTTTTATGTATTGTTGTTGTTTAGTAAATAAAAGGAAAGGCTGGGATGCCATTTTATTCAAAAATTAACACTGAGATGACGAACTAACGCATGATATGGAAAGATTAAAAAAAGGTAACAACTACATTTGTATTTCATCCACACACAATTATTTTCTTGACAAGATTATTTTAAATTTCTCTGATTTCGAAATCATGAAATTTAAAGGAATTAGAACAGCTCTATAGCATTTAATTGCAATAAATAATAATACAAATGTCAATTTTGTTTTGAGAGGGGACTGAAACAAATTCTGAAATATTTCCATTAATGTTGTACTCTTTTTACAGAAGTTTGCTATCTCTAAAATGTAACGCAGTAGACAACTGCTTATTCTCATTTTAACGTAGTATAAACAGTGATAAAATAATGTATTTTAACCATTGAATCCATAATATACCTGAGAAAAAGACTATTTTTGTGTCTATCGGCCGCTCGTAAACTGCATCGACTGTTTCTAAATCGCTGTCATACCAGAAGCGACGAATCTCAACAGGGTAATTTTTCATAAGCCCTTGGCTGTTTAACCTCCAAAAATACTGAAAAAATAAAACGTAGAAATGTAAGATTCTAAATAACAATGATATTAATAAAAGCATATAAAGTTAAAAAAGTATTAAATATCGACAGATTATTAAAGTTTTCAACATAGCAAATGATAATTTTATTGTAATTTTATTACTATTACCGTAATTGATAAAATACTATTGTTATTAATTCATAATTTTAAATTAATATGTGAAACTTCTCCTTTTTTAAAAAATTATGCATGAGTAACATTTACTAATATGAAGTTTCTGCAGTCTAAGAATTTTTGTAAATGGAAAATCATTTCTGAAAGTACAATTCATAAGTTAGTTAGGCAATCAATATTTAACAAATATCCTCATCTATAAACATATGAAACAAAAATGTTATCCACTTTATGCAACATAATAAATAAATTTATTTAATTACAAATAGATTTATAAATTTTTAAATTATGAGATTAACTATTCTTTACAGAAAATTTAGATTTTCTGCTCCTGATCTACAAAACTTCGAGTCTATATGACTTTGAAATTCGATTAGAATTTTGGCCTTCATCATCCCACACTTACATTACATGGTATTAAATATTTCTTTTTTCGCATGGTTTTAATACTAAATGATTCAATATTATTTTGTCATAAACTGCTACTTAAACCACCCAATTCTGCGCGTACTTCTGGGAGATTTTACGTTAAGTGCATACGCTGTTGCAAAGTACAGAATCCAGTTTTTTATAACATTAAGCATATAATTATATTTTTAGAGAATATACCGTAATTTTATATTTAGAAACAGTAAATATGAAGCAGGAATTAGTGAATGTAATAATTTTTATAAATAAATTTTGAACTAGTAATGAATAGAAAGAGGCTAACAAATGCTCTTCTTCTTAGACTTTTATTGCTTTGATCATTTTAGCAATTTGTAACACAAATAATCATTTATTGTCATACTGAATTGCAAGTTATTCATTGTATAATTTGTAGGGTTTATATTTATTTTAACTGACATTTATTTTAAGTTTAAACTATCTTTCCTGTCAAGCCTTACTTTCCCCCTGGAACTGCCAATACCAGAGTATGTAAATTTTAGTAGAACGCGCAAGGATTCAAATTATTAGCGGAAGTATTCTGAGTTAAATAGAAAGGAAACGAGTTCGAGGTGTGCTGTTCTTACTTCACGAGCGCGGAGGTAGTTAGCCAGAAATTGAAGAACCCCGCGTTTTGGCCTGTGTGCTTGCCTTAGAGAATTGTTAATCGTTCAACGTGATATTCAAAGTTTGCTGAATTAGCAGCGGTATTGTAAAACGCGGTGAGGTTAGTTACTTTTAGAGAGCCTCGTAGTTAGAGTCTTGTTATTATTTCTTTTCAGGTGCTTATTTTTATTTTACCGCCGGGTCGGCGTAGTTTGTGAGCGTCAAGAGCACGCAATTGTAACTTCTTAAGTTGAATAAAAAGGGACTTAAACCCTTAGCAAGACTCCGTCTATTTTCCAGTTTCAACAGTCACCTCTTGGTTGCGTGCAAGTTGGAGGCGCGCAACTCTACATTGGTGCCCGAACACTTAACTGAAATGGCCGAAAATCGGATGGAAGCCGCGGGACAACACCAAGAAATGGCAAGCCAATTGGAAGGATTTGGATACCTGGTCCAGACTTTGAGAGCGTCAATCAAGCCAAACGTCAATTTCGACGGAAAAAAATTTGGTGGCGATATTTCTAGAAGGCCTAGAAAATCACTTTCAGCTCTACCCTGTGCCTGAAAGACAAAAAGTTGCCATCGCCACATCCGCACTAAGAGGACAGGCCGCGCTATGGTGGAAGAATATAGGCAAATTTTTATTAGGGGAATTTGGAAGCCAGACATATACATTTGAAAATTTCAAAAAATCGTTAGTAAAGGCCTTCCCCATAGTGAAAGATCGAGCAAGGCTGGAAGCCGAACTATATAGTTTTCTATCAACGGGATATAGATGAGTTGACGGACTTTATTCAACGAAAAATTAAGCTGACGGATATGCTGTATGGGAAGAAACCCGACGCGGAGATTATTGAAATAATCTTACCAAGATTGTTACCCGCTGTTCAAGACTACTTCGAAATTAGAAACCAAGCCATTGCAGGAACTCTTCGAACTTGGCGGTGAAGTTTCAAAATCGCAGAATAGCGGAAAAAAAAGCTAGAGGGGCATCGTATTCTCAAAGTGCCCGAGGGAGGAAATCTTCAAATGAGCAAACCAGAAATGCAAACCGCTCTTATGGGGGAAAGAGCTATCAAGCTAACTCATCGAACCTCGAAGGTCAAGGCCCAAAAAGAAAATTCGAAAACAAACATCCGCGTAACCAGAAGCAGAACTTGGAAGGAAACCTTTAAACGAGTAGAGGGGCCTGTGAAAGCGAGGGTCCAGACCCCGGAAGTTTTAAAAAAACCCTCAAAAAGACATTTAAATACGGTCATCGTAAAATCTCACATCTACCAATTATACAAGTCCTGGTTGGCGATGTACCAGTAGAAGCCCTCATCGATACAGGAGCAGAAGGAAATTTTATGAGCGAAACATTCTTCAAAAGAATTTTATAGGGTACGATTATTTAAAACCAAAAATACGGAAATTATAGCGGGCGCAAAGGAAAACTCTGTCACTGCATCGGGAAATTATCATTAAACATACAGGTAAAAGAGGAAAGCCTCAAAGTATTAATTTTTGTAGTGAGAATCTGCAAATCCTCTTATTTTAGGTATGGAGTTTTTAAGGGCCGCGAGGGCCAAATTGAATTTTCAAGACAGTTCCGTTGTTCTGGAGATGGACCAGAGGGTGGTGGAACCTGTGGAACAACCGCAAGTGGACCTTAGCCATCTGAATGACCATGATAGTCAAGCCATCCAGCAAGTGGTGAGTAATTTTTCTAACTTGTTTTCAGAAAAGCCGGGTAGTTGTCAAATAGTTAGGCATCAGATACACTTAACTGCCGAAAAACCTTGTAGGACTAAACCTTATCGTTATGACAAACAAAAAGACGTAATCATCGAAGAACATATTCAGGAAATGTTAAAGAATAAAATAATAACGCCCATAAATAGTGAGTACGCGAGTCCAGTCGTACTATGTAGGAAAAAGAACGAGTTTCCTCCTTCGGATAAAAGGGCTTGGAGGTTTGCTATCGATTACAGAAAACTAAATAGTATTACTAAATTCCCAGTTTACCCTTTGCCGGTTATAGAGGAAATTATTAGAAAGATTCAAATCTACAAGATACATGTCTACTTTGGACTTAACGTCTGGCTACTATCAAATAGCTATGAGACCCGAAGACATACATAAAACCGCGTTTATAACAAAATCGGGCACCTATGCATTTTTACGCATGCCCTTTGGGTTGTGTGGGGCCCCATCAACATTCCAGAGAGCTATGGACATTGTTCTAAAGCCTGTCCTAGGAAAATCAACTTTAATCTATTTGGATGATATAATTATAACGAGTAGTACGTTGGAACAACACATTAAAGATCTAGAAGAAGTTTTTAAATTATTAAAAGAGGCCGGTCTTACAATTAACGCCTCAAAATGCAAGTTCGCAACTAAAGAACTTAAAAATATCTCGGTTATAAAATTTCGCAAAAGGGTATAAAAACGCAAGATTCAAAAATAAAAGCAATCAAGAATTTTCCACCGCCCAACACCGCCAAGAAACTTTCTTCTTTCCTTGGGTTATGTTCTTACTATCGGTCTTTCATAAAAGATTTCGCTAATATTGTTGAATCACCTCTTAGTAATCAAAAGAAAGACAAGTAAATTTACGTGGACAGCGGAAGCAAATACAGCATTTGAAAGATTAAAAGAAGCGCTCATCAATGCCCCTGTTTTGAAATTCCCGGAGGGGAACTGAAAACCTGGAAAATTGCAGCAGATGCGTCGGAACTATGCCGTAGGTGGGTGCGGTTCTTATGCAAAATAGGGCATCCTTTGGCATTTTTTAGTAAAACGTTTTAATTCAGACGCAAAGGAATTATACAGCTACGAGAGAGAGAAACATTAGCCGTATTAATGGCTGTACACAAATTTCGAGTATTATTTCGGCAAAGCGCCAGTAACAGTCTTTTCGGAACATGCGGCTGTATTGGTAGACTTTACTCGGGGAAAAACCTAACGCCCAGGTTAATAAGATGGGCTTTAAAACTTCAAGAATATAACCTCATAATTAAATATAAACCGGATAAGGAAAACAATGTAGCTGACGCACTTTCTCGTATAAAACTGGACGATGAAGGAAATGAACTTAAATGCGCTGTGTTGACTTCAAAAATTTTAGATTCTAGAGATACGATTATCACTGAACTGAAAGCTGATCCTGAATTCGGAAATATCTATGCATATTTGAAAGACCCCGAAAGTTTTGAGCACACAGATATCGATGCGATAAGAAATAGAGCAGAAAACTATGAAATAATAGATAATTTATTATTTTATACGAAAACAACAAACGAAAATCTCGAGTACAAAGCAGTCATCCCAGCCTCGCTTCGATTAAGCATTTTGAAGGAATTACACGACGCGAAAACAGCGGGTCATTTAGGGGTCAGAAAGACTTTAAAAAGGGTACGCGAGGCGGTATATTTCCCGCAATTATACAAAATAGTAACTGCGTATGTCAAGTCCTGCAATCAATGTCAGTTAATAAATGATATTAATTACAGCCCGGCCGGGTACTTAAATAGCATTCGCGCTACATTTCTGAATGAAATTTTAGGCATAGATCTTCTTGGTCCCTTCCCCCAGAGCGAGTTAAATAAAAATCGTTTTCTTTTAGTAATAACAGATCATTTTTCAAAATGGACAGAAATTGTTCCACTTAAACGCGCGTCAGCCAAAACAGTCGCAGATGCATTCTTACACAGATACATTTTAAAATACGGTGCACCGATAAAAGTCATCATAGCCATAACGGAAAACAATTCATTAGTCAAATATTTGAAAACATATGCACTGGACTTGGCATACGCCATATCAAAA